GGGACGAGGGGAATTCCAGGCCGGCCCGGGAGGAGCGCGCGCGCGGTCCGGGAGCCTTCTTTCGCGCCCCCTCCCCCAAGTCATTGATTCTTTGGCGCGAGCGGTCTCGCTGCACGGTGGAATGCGCGGTCTCGTCGTCTTAAGGTGCCAGGAGGGCCCGCGTTGTTTGCCAAGCAGAGTTTGCCTCTCGCCTTGCCAGTGCACTTGCTGGGGCGGGCCTTTCTGGAGGGGCAGGAATGCCTTCCCACGGCGAAGGGCCGGGAACGGTTCGCTCCCAAGCGCGCGGGAAACGTCGTGTGATCCTACTACACGTCGAATGGCCGCCATAACCTGCTGTTGTTGTTGTTTATTTCTGAGGGTCGGAGTCGGAAGTCGCTCGGGAGGCAGGCGGAGAAGTGTGCCTAAACTTTCCTGACTTCCGTTCAGAGTTTCTTCTGTACCGATGGATAACTCGGCGTCTGGTTTAGTTTGGTTACTTGGCTGCTGAAAACGGGCAAAGACTTGTAAAACTGAGGTGGCCGGGCTTGGAGAGAGAGGCTGCACCACAGACGCCAGTGCCCGGGGTGGGGAACAGCGGGCCTTCCAGGAGTTGGTGCATGACTGCTTCCATCACGTCTCACTCAGGGCTAGGCTGGCTAAGGGTGAGGGGAACGAGACCAGTAACATCTGGAGAACCTTGAGGCCCACAGTTCTCTGGTCCCGTTGTTGCCTGTGCAAAGCAGGTTTTGCGAGTACTTGAAACCGTTTGGAGAAATACCTTTCCCAAGCTGTCTTTAATACTCAAGCATTGGAGATGACTGGAGGCATGCCACTGTCAGGACTTTTTTTATTTTATTTTATTGCTGGCCTGTAACCATGAAGGCAAAGCTATTTCTCTGCCTGATTCAGTTTTCCTGTAGGCGTTAAGCCATTTTAAGGCCAAATTTTCAAAAGCAACTCTTATTTATGACTGGTGACATTAGGCAAGGGACTTTGAGGATTAACCAGGTTGCATTTTCAATTAAACTGGGGTTGGGATAGAAGGCTTAAAATTGGTTTAGGAACAGCCATCCATGTCTTAGTTACATCATATCTTGGTTACTGCAATGTGCTGTACATGAGACTACCTTTGAAGAGGGTCTGAGATCTTCAGTTGGCGGTGCAACATGTCACAGCTGGGTTCTTGACCATTTCTCAATATTTTGATCATATGGCCTCAATGGAGAAGGAGTTGTAGCCCTATTCAAGATGTTGGTTTTATCCTTTTATTTAAAATAGTTTGAATGTGGCTACTTCAGGCCTGGCTGCCTTGTTATGAGCCTGTCTGGACATTAAGATCTTTAAGAGCAGCCCTAAAAGTTTCAGAGACCTGCCTAACAACCACATAGGAGAGAGTCTTCTACTGTGTGGCTGCCAGGCTGTGTAAATCACTCCCTTCTGTGTTGTGATCTGTTTTTACTTGACTTTTAAGAAGGGATAAAAAAAACTTCTTTTTAGACCAGACTATGATGTCTAACCTGCCCTGCTCTGCTATTTTTAATGGTATCGTTGATTTTAATAGTTGCAATGAATTTACTTGATTGTAATGTTTTTTACAGTAAGATTGGTTTACTTTTTTCTGTGATATTTTAAAGTTAAGTTTGGTTCAACCTGTTTTTATTCTTTTAAGGCCTTTGTAAGCCATCATGAGAGCTATTTGTTAATGGAAAGGTGGGATCAAAATGTAAGAAATAAATAAAGAGAGGAGACTGACTTCCTGCTGAAGCAGCACAGTCTGTTTTGCTAGCTCTTTGTTTGTTTGTTTTTATTTGCACCATGTAGTGGCACTGCCACTATTCTGGGCATTTTCCACCTATAAAATAAACATAACGAGCATAACCACATAACACCCAATCCACAGATATAATAATATAAGAAAATAATACAAAAGAAGAACAACACACCTAAAAACTCAAGCTGGTGGCAATGCACAATATACAAAGTTATAAACTCCAAAATATAATGGCCAAAATAAGCATAAGTGACAGACGGCTATGGGTTTTTTCCTGAAATGCCCCTCTGATTTTATTTGCTTCCTGAATATTTGAAGGGAACACAGAGAAGGTCTAGCTCCTAGTTGTAGACCTCTTAGCCCCCTTTGGGGTGGCCACCTGCAACATGCCTGAAAGGTGCAAGTGGCATGAGAAATTGATATGAAGGAGACGTTTTCTGACAGGTAGTGAGATCCCAACCATTCAGGGCTTTATAGTCAACATTAGTACCTTAAATTTGGTACAGAAACAAACCAGCAGCCAATTCAGGGTGAGCCAGGACCGGTAAATGATTGTATCTCAAAGTTCCTGAGATCAGCTTGACTACTGCATTTTGTACTTCCTGCAGTTTCCATACTTTCTTCAAGGGCTGCCCCATGCAGAGATAATCGCAATAGTCAATTCTCAAGATTGCCAGTGTGTGAACTAGTGTTATCTGGGATTTCCTGTCTGGGTAGGACTGCAGGTGTGCAATCTGCCTATGGTGGAAAAAGGCAGACCTGGCCAAGGCTGAGATTTGTTTCTCTATCAAGAGAGCCAGGTCCAGAAGCACACCCAAATGACAAACCTCTTCTTTCTTGGGGAGGGTAACCCCATCTAGAGTAGGCCAAAGCCCCCCCCCAAATGATCAGTATCCTCACCTAACAAGATCTCCCAAGCAAACTACGTATACCAGAGCACAGAGTGCTGTCCTCTGAAGATGCCGGCCACAGAGACTGGCAAAACGTTAGGAAGAACAACCTTCAGAACACGGCCAAAGAGCCCGAAAAACCCACAACAACCACAAGAAGGTCTTTATCTTGTCAGGATTCAACCTCAGCATTTTCACCCTTGTCTAGTCCATAATTGAGGACAGGCAGCACTATAGGGACTGCACTGCCTCTCCTGCCAAGAAGAAGAGAGCTGTGTGTCTTCACTTTGCCTTCTAGCAAACCAATTAATATGTTATGGGGTGAAAGTTTTGATTGCTGGGAGACAATTTAGCCTAAATATCATTCAGTTATGAAATTGGACAGTTTGCTAGAATAGGAATAGAATTCTAACTTCATGTAAAACACGGTAGCTACACATTCTGTCACATAAATGTTTTTTACTCAAATCTTCCATCATTGCTCATGGAAACAAATTATTGGATTTGAGCTGGTATGTGACTGATGAAGGGCTTCAATTCTGTTGCCTGTCATTTTATCTAACATGATTTAGCTAAAGCGTGTAAGGCACATTTGCTAAATCAAGGGTCAGCAGAGAAACAATGAATACAATGGAATATGCTATATTATATACAGTGTAGAATATCTTATATTGTTGGTGGTAGAAAAATAAAAAACATTGGGTTAGGAGAAAATTACAAAAAGCACTGTCAGCTACACAAAACCTGGCCATTTTATAAGAAATCAAAGGGTCTTTATCTGAAAAGAGAAATGGAATATAAAACTCCTCTGTTCATTTCTCTCTTTTTAAAAAAAGGATAAAATAAAACCATTCAAAGACAGAAGGGACAGTGCTATAGAATGTGCCCCCAAGTTTTCTCATTGCCATTTTCACAAGGACATTTGTATTTTTGATAGGACATCTCCCCTCCAGGAGCACAGAAGTTAAAACATTAAATCAGGCTAAAGTACTGCAAATACTTTTGTGATGTCAGGAAGTAGTAAACTTCCTGAGTTTGCCAAGGAGCTAGAAGGGGCAAACAACTTGTTGCCAGAATAATCATATTTGTAAGGTAAAGGTTCCCTTTAACATTTTAGTCAGTCGTGTTTGACTCTAGGGGGCGGTGCTCATCCCCATTTCCAAGCCGTAGAGCCAGCGTTTGTCTGAAGACAGTTTCCGTTGTCACATGGCCAGCGCAGCTATACACGGAACGCTGTTTACCTTCCCATTGAGATGGTACCTATTTATCTACTCGCATTTACATGCTTTCGAACTGCTAGGTTGGTGAGGAGCTGGGACAAAGCGACGGGAGCTCACTCCGTCACGTGGATTCGATTACGATTGTTGGTTTTCTGACCCTGCAGCACACAAAGGCTTCTGCGGTTTAGCCTGCAGCGCCACCACGTCCCTAATCATATTTGTAGCATGGCTTAATTCTACATCTCAGGTTCTTTTTTAATGATGGATTGGCTTTTGAATATTTACCAGCTGTAAAATTGCTGGAAGAGTTCCTCAAAGCCAGTAACTGAAATATATCTATTAGTGTCTGTGGTACAAGTCATACAGGAAAGAAAACCAATTTTAGTCAGTAATTTATCATCTCTGTCCAGGCATAGATTTCAGTAGAAAGTAAGCCTGCCTCAGGGTGCAAGGCCACTTTAGGGACAGTGTGTGGAACTAAAAATATAATCCTTGGTTCATACAGTTTTAAATAGTCTAAAATTATCCTGAGTAGACAACTGGGGTCCATAGCATATCTGTGCTTCAGTATTTTACCAACAGATGCATGGATAGTTGGAGTGGTGGAAATACTGCATTCCTTGTTTAGAAAAGGGGGGTAAACCTCTGTCCATGATTGTAGTTTTTTTCACTCTGAGGAAGATTCTACAACCTGAAGAATGTCTGAGGAGGTGGACTTGATCCACAAAAACTCACATTAAAATATAGCAGTTTTTGCTTTTTTATTGTGTTTGTGTTTGCTTTATGTTTTTACTTTTGTTTCTTATCTGCCCATAATTGCACTTTAGTCTGTGAATTATTTTGAGGAGGTAAAAATACCTCTAAGTTCTAATTAAGTCCTATATACAGTGATGCCTCTCAAGACAAATGCCACACGCAATGAAAAACTCGCAAGACGAAAGTGTTTTGCGATTTTTTTGTGACTCGCAAGATGAATTTTTCTATGGCTGTGCTTCGCAAGATGAATTTTTTTGGTTTTTAAAAAATTGCACAACCACTATTACCGTGCTTTGCAAGATGAAATTTTCGCAATATGACATGACTCGTAGAACGAATTAATTTTGTTTTGCGAGGCGTCACTGTATTTATGTTACTTCCCCCTCCCCAAGTCAGTGTCAGTTTCTTTAAGGGTCACAAAGCGAAGATCCAAAATTTTGGGTTACCCCTTGTGTATTCTGAAGCTCTGAGACAACAGGACATGCTGATAATTGTTGGGGATAGACATACAGTTAGTGAAATGTCTCTTGTGAACGCTATGGTGAGGCTTCCATAGAGTCCTTACTGATGGCCGTACTTTAGAAGAGATTGTTTCATGTCCCTGTTTATATCAGACTTGCTGTTTTTTTTGTTGTGTTTGTTTGTGTCTTATTTGATAGCTCATTGGTTTGAGCCATCTCTTCCACAAACAACTTCTAGCAGTGCTCTTCCTTTGAGTAGCACCCTCTAATCTGGACTGAGTAGGTCGTAAATCTCCACAAATAATTCACAGGATAGAGTGCAATTGATAAAATGTTCAGGCTTTTTAAAAAGTTGGACTTCCTGGCCAAAATCCTCTGCTTAGCATAGTAATTGCACTACAGTAGGGTCACTGAATTAGTGCGGAGTTGGTGAGTCATCTGTAAATCCCATTGATTCAAATTGGCCTACTCTAGTTGTGGCTTACTTTAGCATAATAAATCACAATTAGAGTAGGTCCATTTGAATCAACAAAACCTATGACTCACCAACTCCCCACTAATTTCATGGGTTTATTCTAGTGCAATTACAACACTAAATAACAGGATTTTGACCACTATATGGGAAAGGTTCCATACAATAATTGTATCTCAGAGCACACTAACTATCAGGATGCAAGTTTTAAAATGGCCATATCACAATAGGGAGCCAGGGGGTACGTTCCATTAAAATCTGGGTCTGTGATTTTTTAGGTTGAATCTCCAGCATTGAAACTTGACTGTGCTAGTGATGAATATCCCACTGCTGGGCGTTGTTGCAGAAAATGCCCTGCAGGTAAGTAATCACACAATTGTTTCATACTTTCATAAAAGAAGTCATATCTGTGAGTGAATACCTGAGCTTGGAGAAGTCATTTTTCTAGGCTACAGCTCTCAGAATCTATGATAAGGACTAAGAAGGCTGGGGATTTGGGAAGGTGAGATAAAACAACAACTTTTTCAGGCAAAATTTAGTTGATTTAGTCAAGACATTTATGGTAACGTAATCTCTGTAAAGATGCTGAAAAAGAACATCTTATAAGAAATTCTTGCAATAACCATTGAGTATAAATCAGTATTAAGATATTATTGAGCACAAATGTATTAGCATGTTTACAAAAGAGAGGCTCACCTCCTCCAGCTGACCTTCCTTATAGTGTCATTGTCAAGATTAAAAGGACAGCCCTGTATGCCAGCTTGAACCTTCAAATGGTAAGCCAGGACATAAATGCAACAACAGTAATATGAAAACCCCTCCCCAGGTTGTATTGTGTGAATAAAAGAGAATCAGGGAACATGCATTTACTAAACATGTACGCATCTGGTTCAGTGTCTTACAGTGTAGGTCAGGCTATATTAGGATATTAATATGCTAGCCCACCCATAGGGTTTTGGTGTATTTTATAACCCATCATGTTCCTAATTGTGTGGTTATTTGTTTCATGGTTGTTCTAAAACCTTAATATTCTCCTGTTCTAGCATCTGATTAACAGATCAACGTGGCTGCTGATGCCAGTTACTAGTGTTGGTTTATAGCCTTCCCATTTAAGTTGCTGTATCCAGATTAGAATGTTAAGATAAACAAAACTCTCTGTTTAATACTTCTGGTTTAGTATGTTCCTTTTTAAAAATTAAATGCAGATCATTTGATACAAATTGGTTTGGGAGGGTTGTGTGTGTTCGCCTTTTGTTTTGATGGGGATGTCAGATTCCCTAACTGTGCTGCTGGTTCAGTATACTGGCAGCCATGGCGTATGTGATCTAAAGTTTTAGGTTGCTCGTGCTCAGATTGCAGCTATGCTAGTCTTGCAAACACTTTCTAGCTCGCACAGATATTACCACTTTGCAGGCTAGAAGCATATTTTGTTGCAAATGAAGCAGTTCTGTTGTAGTTTACAAATACTTTTTCTGCCCTGGTAGCTTGGAGGTAATATCCACTCATCCTGAGCGATCTGACATCTGTCTGTCTATAAGGTGGAAGTACTTGGACTATACTTTTTGGTGTTGAATCTTTCATTCAGGAAGTGCTAATTACTGCAGTCGGAAAGGAGAATGTTTAGATATTTAGCTTCTGTCAGTCAGCAGCACAAGGCTGACAGGCTAGCAGCATTCAGCATGGGCTGCTATCAAATGTAAAGGTCCATGCTTTGCACTCTGCAGTTGTTGCGTGCGGGTTGTGGATATAGCCTCTGCCATGCCTCTGATGACACCTTGTGGTGCCCGTTCGTAAGGCGATCAGGTTCCTCCAGGTTCCTGTTCTGTGATGATGGTGGAGTACTTCCATCACTGGTACATAACATAATTAGAGGTGTATAGTCTGCCGCAGAAGCAAAGCAAGACAGTATTGGGTTCTGCTAACTTTGTTTTAGCACACATAGTTTATATTTGAAAAATTTGAATAGCATACACTCTTTAGCCATAATACTTATTAAAGATCAGATTGGGACTCCCAGAGTCAAACTTTGTATTATAAAAAGGTATGTAATGAGAGAAGGGGCTTCCATAAATGCTGAAAGCCACTGAGTGTCACAGCAGGAATCTTTCACTATTCCCATAGTTTGTACCTCATTCTACTTGATTTTATGGTTGGTCTTCTGGGTGTACACGTGGGCTTTGTTTATAATCCTGATTTCTCAGACGTGAAGGTCTGCTTGAATCACATCTCTGGGGGAAAAGACTGATGTGATTTCACATAGAATGATGCAACCAACGGTTTGGCCTTCAGTAGTTAAAGCCAATATCGATACTGACATTCAGTATAGTTCTACCCCTAACTGTTAGCAGAACGTCCTCTCTTCTCCACTGCAGCCCTTGATACTAACTCAAAACTGGCCCCAAAGGGTTTCCCAGTCCTCTGGAGCAGAATTCGGAGAGTTCAGGAAGCTGCAGGAGGATTGCCCCCTTCAGTTCCACCCATGAAAGCAAGTTCACCAGTGTAATCATGCAGGCCTTGGTTAATTGAAAGTATATTTGTCCATGGCTAGATTCAGGCTATAAGTTGTGGTGATGCATTGCAATAATATCTTAAATCACTTGACTTGAGGCACAGTAATAACATTTTTTAGAGTGTAAGTCTCCGCCTTATGTTCTCGCATTTAATGTGGCCTGTCAGCTGTGCAAGATTTAAACACAAGGGTTTTCATCTGTTAGCAGCCTATGTTCTGCATGTTTGCTCAGAAATAGGTTTCATTTTTTCCTGTGGAAGTTTGTTTTGAGAAAACATGGATATGATTTCAGCTAATCTAAGCAGAGTGGGCAACTTGGGTGGTCCTGGGGCCAGATCTCAAGCACTTCACCTATGTCACACCTGGGCCTGGAAAGGGCAACTTAAAACATAAATATGAATCGGGACATATCAAAACAGATACTTCTGATCTGGGCAACAAAGGGCTTGGGTGACCCTCCCAGACTTCCAAAAGCAAAACCCACAAACAAGTAATTTTTGAGAAGTAAATATTTCATGCTCAGAGGCATAAAACCCTACCAGCTCTAGGTGAACTGGTAGGGGTTGCAAAAATACTTCCAGTGTACTTTTGCAATGGACCCCACTCGGCCTATATGTATATTAGATGTTCTGGAGCCTTCTTCGCAGTGAATAAGCAAAGGATCAGCATATATAAGTTATCTTCTGAAATGTATCCTTAAGAAAATTAATAAGAGCAGCGTGGGTCTTAAAGCCAGATGTGCACATATTACTAGTACCTGAATGAGAATATACATAACTTTAAATGGTTGAATATCCCCCATATAATAGGTACTTACGTCAGAGAACATTGCTTCACTCCGCATACTTCAGGGTATTGTAGGCCATGTGAAGAAGGAGAAGACTACACGGAACATGAAAATGGTCTTGAGCAATGCTTACCTTGTGACAAGTGCAAATCCGGTATAGTATGGATTTGGGATTAAAAGTTTCTGCTTTCTAATTTTAAATGTTATGAAGTGCATGCATTTTCTGCCAATGAATGATGTTACCGTGTGCTTTCCAAACGTTCTACTAAGTCAGTGGTTCCCAGCCTCCCAAAAATTCTGGCCGGCACAGCTAGTGGTGAAGGCTTCTGGAAATTGTAGTCCAAGAACACCTGGGAACCCAAGCTTGGGAAACACTGTACTAAGGGGACCCACATGTTTACTTACATAAGGACAGGAGAACCTACTCCCTGTCCTAGGCTGCATTCCCTCAGAGTAGTTTGTTGTTGGAGGGAGTGTGCTAGTGCACTGGTTCTTAACCTTGGGTTACTCAGGAGTTTTGGACTGCAACTCCCAGAAGCCTTCACCACCAACTGTCCTGACTGGGGTTTACGGGAGTTGCAGTTCAAAAGCATCTGAATAACAAAGGTTAAGAACCACTGTGCTAGTGGTTGGTGAGGCTGGATCAAAATGTGCGCAGGGACACCCCATTTCCTTGTCTTTCTAACATCCCTTAGTCTCACTTCTTTTTCCCACCTCCTTATTCACTTTGCAGCTGAGGAGAGAGAGAGATTGCTCTTTCTAGAGGTCAGACAGTTTTTAAAATTAGAACAAGAGCAATGGATTGCCCACCCTTGACTAAAATGCTTGACCAGCATTTGGAAAGCATTATCGTTTGGGACTGCGACTCCCAGTCTTCAAGCAAAGGCTTAAATGGAGTTGGGGATTCTTTCTACGTTACATGTATGAATATACTGTTTTTCACAAAACGTTTATATATAGCCCCTCCTTTTTCACTGAGATTCCATCTTCAGTGTAAGTAATTCTTTCTTGAGTGGAACTTGATACCTCTGGCACTTCAAAGGTAAAAGCTTAACAGGCTTGTGTACTAGCTTATAGATAGTTACCTCCCTTAGCTAGCTGGACAACTCAGAGTACCTGCCTTGCAGAACCATGAGTTAGGAATTCAGTTCCCCCACTGTGCCTCCTGGAAGAAGAGCCAGCCAATGTAGCCTTGGGCAAGTTGCAGAGTCTCAGAGCATCGCCAGAAGAAGGGGATGGTAAACCACTTCTGAGTATTCTGTATCTAGAAACCCTTGGAAAGGGTTGGCAGATGTTGGAATTGATTAGATGGCCCATCATTATTTTTAGTTTCACCCCCTTAGTAAAATTGTTTATTGTCTGACACACTTAAATTTAGCTTAATATTTGACCTTTACAGGAAGTTTGTATTAACTTTTTATTGCTGAGTGTTAGTACATTATAGCCATTATTTTCCGTATGTCATCTCATTTGGTTTCGATCCCCACAACCATGTACACCGTGCACTTGTTGCCTGAATATTGTTACTCCCTAAGTGAAAATTTCTACACCTAGGAAAAAGGAAACAAATGCACAGTTATAGGATGGGAAATACTTGACTCAGTACTATTTAATGTGAGAAGGATTTTGGAATTTTTGTGCATCACAAGCTGAATATGGGCCAACAGTGCAATGCAGCTCCAAAAAAAAGACAGATGTTATTTTAGGCTGCATTAACAGAGGTATAGTCTCCAGACCCCTTCAAGTACTAGTTCCCCTCTATCCAGCACTTTTCTGTACACTGCACTTTAAGAAGGGTGCAGATAAACTGGAAGAAGTTCAGAGGAGGGCAACAAGGATGATCAGGGGAGTGGAAATCAAGCCCGATGAGGAAAGACTGGAAGAACTGAGCATGTTTAGCCTTGAGAAACAAAGAGTGGTGGAGATACAATAGCACTCTTCAAGCACTTGAAAGATTGTCCTACAGAGAAGTGGCAGGTGACATTCTCAATCATTCTAGAGTGTGGTACACATAATAATGGGAGCAAGTTACAGGAAGCCAGATTTTGGTTGAATATCATACAAAAGTTCCTTACTGTTAGAGCAATATGGCAATGGAGGTGGTGAGTGCTCCAGTGCTGGAAGCATTCAAGAGAAAATTGGACAACCATCTGTCAGATCTGCTTTGACCTGGATTCCTGCATGGAGCAGGGGGTTGGATTCAATGACCTTATAAGCCCCTTCCAACTCCATTATTCTGTGATTCATGCATCTGAAGTAGTGGCTTGTAATCTACAAGCTCATGCCAAAATAATTGTTAGTTTAAAAGGTGCTGTAAGCCTTTACTTTCATCTTTTGTTGTACAGCCCCCATAGACTAATTTTTCCGAACTCGTCTAGAACTGAAACGGTAAAAAAAAAAATTATTCCTTTTTATTCTGCTGTTCAGTGTTGCAGCCTACTGACAGTCTTATCTCTTGGAAGTTGTTTTTGCTACACTATATGTCTCCTGCCAAGTTAGAAGAATTAGAACTCTGTATATACTGTATATGCCAATGATTATGAAATTCTGGAACATTTGTTTTTAAGGTTCCGAAACTGTGAGGCCCTGCACTACGAAGAGTAACACCAAGTGTCAGTGTTGTTATGGCTACTACTGTCCTCCGAGCTGTGAAGAATGCCTCAGGTGCAAGACAAAGTAGGTATATGAATGGGCTCAGCATGATCATCTTTGATTATAAAACTTGGGTTGTGCAAATATGCAAGAATACATTGGGATAGGTGGGTTGATTCAAATTAGATCAAGTGATATTTTTGACATAAATCACCAGGAAGGAAAAGGCACTTTAAAAATCCATTGATTAAATGAAATTTTCCTTTGATATTTCTATTTCCTAAGCAACAATGCATGTTAATTAATGAATCTAATGACTGAAATAATGCAGCGTAACTACATTAACAGTATTCTTTCCAGTCTTTGTTGCTTTGTTTCCCTTCTGTTCACTGTTATAGCCTTGTTTATAGATATTAAAAGTTTAACTGTGAAACTAAGCAAGTTGCAGAGCTCCAGATAGTGAAGGATGTGGAACTACTATTATTCAACAACAATCAGCTGGGCACAATAGAAAATCATATATAGGATCCCATCTTCTAGAGTATTTCTCAGTCCCTGCCCCAGCATATGGAGTCCATAATAACTAGATTCATTTCTGTGCCTGGATGCCCAGGTTTCGGTGGTGGCTAGGAGTGTCTTTGTACAATTAAAACTAGTGCATCAGCTGTTCCTATTGTTGGAGAGGTCTGATCTGGCTGTGGCGGCGCATGCCTCAGTTACATTCCAGCTGGATTACTGTAGTACATTCTATTGGGGCTGCCTCTGGATAGTGTCTGGAGACTTCAGCCAGGTTGCTGGCCAGCGCTGGTTACAGGGATCATATAAGTGCCCTGTTACAACAGCTCCACTGCCTGCTGATCTGTTTCCGGGCACAGTTCAAAGTGCTAGTTTTAACCTATAAAGCCCTAAATAGTTTGGGTCCAAGCTGTCTCAAGGACCATCTCTCCCTTTGTGTGCCTGCTCGAGTGTTAATGTCATCACGGGAGGCCTTTCTCTCAGTCCCACCACCTTCACAGGTGTGCTTGGTGGGGACATGGGAGAGGGCTTTTTCAGTTGCTGCTCCCAAACTTTGGAACTCCCTTATAGGAGGCCAGGCTGGCCCCCATCTTTGCTGTCCTCCCACAAGCAGACAAAGACCTTTCTCTTCAGGCAAGCTGTCCCTTATTGTCTGCCTGCCTTTTGTTTACCGTTTCTTTGAGCGGTATTTGTTTCATCCTTTTTAGTATTTGTATACTTACTGTTTTTAGCTTTGAATATTGTCTTTTAATGATGTAAACTGCCTTGAGTCCTGTTTAAGCAGAAAGACAGAGTAAAAAACTTAAATAAATAAATACATGACTCACACCTATCCTAGGACTTATTCTGATATCATGAAACCATTTCTCTTACAACTCAGATGAGATCTTTGGAAGAATTTTCAGAGGGAAATAACTCTTGTTCATGTTAAAGAAGTTTATGTCATTTTTCAGTGACATGTTTGTGCTGCATTATTCAAAAGGCACAATGCCCAGTTCATTAGATAATATGTCACCTTCTTTTTTAAAAATTAATATCTAGGTGTCCTGAAGGACAGGTGATTGTGCAAAGTTGCAATGCCACCACAGATACAAAGTGTGGATCACCAACTAAAGGTACGGTTTGAATGTCTCATTTCTAGATCTGTCTCCTTGTTCAGTTTTAGTAGTATCATGAGGACTTCAGCTTCTGGACAGAACTTGCCAGAAAAGCATAAAGCTGACCTGCTACTTGGTCTTCCACCATGCTTTTAGCTTTGAGTCCTTGTTATCCAGTCATATAGTTTCCTTTTAACTTTTTTGCAGGCCTTAAACTTTATTATCATTACACTTCTCCCTTCAACAATGCTGGGATTAAGGACGCTAGACCACCATGTAGTTCAAAATCCATATATAACTCTTAAGCCTCCCAGAATATAACTACAAAACCTAAAGAGTTGGTTCAAACAAATACACACACACACATATGCACACACCTCTCTTGACTCGCATCAGTCTCCTGGCATGCCCCGCCATCCTGCCTACTGCCACATGAAGCTGCCATGACAAGAGAGGTCCCAGCTGGGCCACTGCCAGTGGGCTGGCAGTGGCCATACCAACAGCAACAGGGGCCTCAGAAAGTTTAAGACCCATCTCTCTCAGGCCACTTCCTGGAGATGAATAGCAGCACATTAGTTATTGAATGTTTGTTTGTTGGGGAAAATCCATGTATAATGAAAAATGTGCTGCTAAGACCCAGGCAGTTCAAAGGAGAAGTGTATAACTTACTTGGTTTTCATTCCCCATCCCAACAGTTCGTCTCAATGCACATATGGCTAATGCTCACTAGGGTATTTCCCACCCACCACCCCATGATTTTATCTGTACACCATGTGGCTTCTCCAAGCCTCATGGTAAAGGTAAAGGTTCCCCTTGACAATTTTTGTCCAGTCGTGTCCGACTCTAGGGGGCGGTGCTCAGCCCCGTTTCCAAGCCATAGAGCCAGCATTTTGTCCGAAGACAATCTTCCGTGGTCACATGGCCAGTGCGTCTTAGACACGGAACACTGTTACCTTCCCACCGAAGTGGTCCCTATTTATCTACTTGCATTAGCATGCTTTCGAACCGCTAGGTTGGCGGGAGCTGGGACATGCGACGGGCACTCACTCCATCGCGTGGATTCAATCTTACGACTGCTGGTCTTCTGACCCTGCAGCACAGGCTTCTGCAGTTTAGCCCACAGCGCCACCACGTCCCAGCCTCATGGTACCTCCCTCTTATTAGTGGATGGTGTCATTTTGGCTACATAATCTTCAGCAATCCCACAAGAATACTGGAAATTGAATGATAATAATCATTCTCCAAGCCTAGTTCTGGCCCATGTTTCGTATCTTTATTGAGTTCTAAAGCAACTGAAGTTGTTCAGGAAGAAGTTACTGTGTGTTAACATGAGATGTGTATGTGACATGGGAGACCGTTGTAGGAAGAGAAGGAGCCAAGCCAGGCTGATAGAGGAAGTCAGCTGGCTGGGGAAGATGGCGTCGATGTAACTTCTCCCCGTCCTTGCTCTTTATAATCTGTTGTTATTACCTCAAAATGCTAACTCCACCACCTTCTAAGACGGAAAAACCAGGCACGAAAAGATGCCTGTTAACAAGCTCCAGTGAGGAGTTGCTGGCAAGGAAAGGATAGAGGAAGTCTCACTGTCTCAGCCAGATGAAAATTTTAAGGCCAAAATTCACATTAGTAGAGTAGATTCAGTATGAAAAGACAGGTTAATGCATTCCAACCAGCCTCTTGTCACTGGCTTCAGTCCTGTATAATTAACATGAACTGAAATTAATGATATATGTATGTGCTTAATTGCGGGACTGAAGCTACTAAGCCAGCCTTCCCCAATCAGCTGACTTCCAGATTTGTTAGGTAAGGCATGCCAACTTCATGGCTTATTGTTGGGAGGTGTTCTACTGCTTCTCTACTGTGCTATTGAAATATTACTCAGTAACTTAATTAAACTGGAGCTTATTGGAGTGGATATGGAGGTGTCTTGTCTGTTCCCTTACAGTGGAACACAATAATCTCCCTGCACACAGGCTGAATTGCACATGGCGCTGCAACAGGTTTCGTTTGGCTGGCTGAGAAAGACTACAGGTCACATTAAGATGCTGTCATCATCTTGGTATCTTGTTGCAAGGCCAGCCTGAATGGTTTAGGTATCTGGCTGCAGCTGCCAGAGGTTGAGAGCTCAATTCCCCACTGCACCTTCTTAACAGGGGCTGGGCTTGATGATCCATAGGGTCCTGATCAGCTCTGAAGTTCTAAGATGATGATGATGAGCTGGAAGATAGAGATGAAGATGATGAAACCGAAAGCTGCATGAAATACCTGGGGGAGCAGTTAAGAAAATAAGGTGGAGTCTCTCAAAATAAGCTGAGGTCCCAGAACTATTCAGAGCCTAGAACAGAGCTAAGGAGATACAAGCCTGCTTGGAGTTGCAGACGTGAAACTAAATTAATAGCCCAGTTCAGCATATTAGAGGGAAGAAATTAGATAGTGGGGGCCTCAGCTCCTTCTGCTTCTTAGACGGGGCAGGTAGGCCTTTAAAATGTTGCTGGACTGCAGCCATGATCAGCTCTAACCAGCATAGCTAAGCATGGGAAAAGGAAGTTGCAATCCAATGAGATTTCAAGGGGCACAAACTATCCCTCCCCCCCCACCTGTTAAAACAGCATCCCAATGCATTCCATGGGATCAACAGGGATGTCGCCTTTTATTTCTTCCTCTTTTTTTTGGCACAGGTATCAACCACAAGATGGCATTTTTGCCTGTGGGCATGCATGCTCTGTTTAGCTCTGGTCTGAAACAGAAGCCCTTGCTAGCAGATCACACAGGAGACAATGGCTGGCATCTTGTTGGTTACCTGCCTCACAAAAACAAACAAAAAACACGACTCTCCTCCCATTTTTTAATTATCTTGGGACACTTGACAAATTTTTGTAAAGCACTTATTTATTATGTTACCCAAAAGCAAAATGTATGCTTTTTTTCATGTGTGTTTCACCTATAAAAGATTCTCATGGTCTGGACCTGCTTTGAGTTTCTGTTTTCTTTCTTGCCTTTTAGAAACAACAGATGGCACATCCAATTGGATTCCGATCGTCACTTCAGTTGTTCCTGTTGTTCTTGTTCTTTTGCTTATCCTAGGGATCCTCCTATATAAAAAAAGGAATGCTATCTGTAAAAGTGAAGGTAATTTCCTGGAATATAAATGAACCTTCTTGAAGTAACTAGATACTCAAAATTAAGGGAGCTAAAGTGAAGGTTAATGGGGAGAAACAAATGGGAGGGCCCCATGAATATATGTTCTCCTGCAGGTGGATCCTGGCATCCCCAACTGAAAAGATCAGGTGTTTTGCAAGCCCTCTGAGATCTGCTTTCTGTTCAGGTAGACAGGCTGGGTGGAAAATAGGCAGCATGAGAGGGTGCATCAAGGGGAGCAAGCACCTACAGGACAGGGAGCCCACCACTCTATTGCTGGACACCTGTGGGTACTCAGATCAACAGCATTTTGAATTGAAAGATAAATCTGTTATTAGAATAAGCCTGGGATCTTAAGCATATCATTTAGAAATCCACACTATCATATTCATTATTATAATCTTGACATAAATTCACTTCACAACACAGAACTGGCTTTTCAAGGAAAGAATCCAATATGATTCTTAAAGTATATAAACAGAGAGCCAGAAAATAACAGTGTAAATTATAGAAAGGAAAAGGACCAGAAGAGTGTCTAGTTCACATTAAATTGTACCCATGTTTGTATTATGACATTGTATACTAATGCATATATTTTTCTCTCTTCCCCAGAAAAAGACTCTAAAATTCATTTGGTAAGTAGCCCCCAAAAACTTCATTCTTTCACCCTTTTTTTTCTGAGAAGACATTTCTGGAATAGTGACCTACACAAGCAGAGTGTCATTGGGTAGCTTGCCTCTGAGCTCTCTGACTGATGTAGGATTTTCTGAGGGGATGGGGGGCTAAAATGACACACTGTGTCATCCATTATTTACTAGAAAACTAAGAGTCAATGTTTAAACAATTTATTACGGACTATTTACAGTATCTCTCTGTGAATAAGTGTTCCACATGAATATATTGGCAAGGGAATGAACCCAGTGTAACTCTGCCACAGCTTGTAAACTTTCGGCCTCCCTTCCCTTTTGTCCCCTGCCAACTAGCACAACTGTTGAAATTGCCCTTTCTGGTGCAGACAATGACATTGGTTTGAGGTCAAGTCGTCCCAGTTCACCTGTCCCTGCTTCAGCACAACTTGGACATCTTAACTTCAGCTTTAGAGGTTAAGATTAGATATGGAGGTATTTGTATACGAATACAAATATTCCCACACAGGTGGCGTTAACGAGGGTCCGCCCCCATGGTGACGGATGGTCCACTCACTGATCCAATGCAGATGGCGCAATTCTACCAATGGCTCCAAAGCGCACAGTCCGCTCGCCACTCTGAGACCTTGCAGCGAGGCTTGACCTCCCATCTCCGGTCAGGAGCAGCAAGCGGATTGCGCGCTGCGGAGCCATTGGTAGAATCACACTATCTGCGTCCACAGTGGATCGGTGAGTGGACCATCTGGCCCCATGGGGCTGGACCCTCATTAACGCCACCTGTGCAGGGATATTCATATACGAATACCCCCATCTCTAGTTAAGATCCTTCGGATAGTCTGGAATGTAATCTATTAGAGGAAGGTTGTGATTCGAACCTATGAAATTAGTATATGCTTCAGACTCTGGAGGCATCAGCCCAGTCCTATATCTTGCTCTTATCCTCATCCTCTTTCCCAGCAACAATCCCCAAATCTTCCTCCAGCTTTCTTATATTCCCTCCTTAGTGGGAACTTCTTGTGGTGAGCTTTTCTCCATTCTCCTTTCTGCCATTCCATTTTTTTCCTGTCTCTTCACTCCATCAGAATATTCAGTCCTGGGTAGTTCCCAGGGAGGAGATCCAGTCTGTATCTGCCATATAGCTTTGGCAGGGACCCTTGGAAGGCTAGTGGGACATGGAGCTAAACGGTCCTTGAGACTCCCTGCTCACAGTGCCTGTACATCTTCTTCATTCATTCATTCATTCATTCATTCATTCATTCATTCATTCATTCATTCATTGTATTGTATTGTATTGTATTGTATTGTATTGTATTGTATTGTATTGTATTCACACAGTATACAATTAATTTCCGGAATTCTCTACTATGAAATGTGGTTATAGCTACTTGCTTAAATGAGTTTTAAAAAAATACAAACAGCAATAAACAAGCAAATTCTAGGAGACTATGTCTTAATACAGTAGGACAGGCAAGACGGGAATCTGATTTTGCAGTTGCTAGTGGGATTATCTTCAATAAAATTTGGGCCAAAATTATTATTTTGTTATTTACAATTAAATGATGCTGAGAAATTGGAAGAAGGCACTTCTGAGGATCCAGGATCAAGAAACAATGCTCTGTTTCTAAATCTTGAGATGAACAGGTTGTTGCCAGGTAGCACAGATGAAGAATCTACCTCTGCAAATATTCCATCAGCTCCAGCTCTGCAGCTGCCAGATAAGCCTGCCATTCCAGGTGGACAGTCAAATGTAAGAAATAGTACGGAAGCTGCTGATCTGGAAATGGTGTGTCTCTGTTTATTTCGGAAGTATGAAAAGTGTTTAAACAAATTCAGTATACTGAGCGTCCCAGAAACAATAGGGCAATCAAAGATTTTACATTCAAGTGGAATTGCCCTATTACTTCTGGGGTAGTTAGTATTACAAAATAAGATGGAATAAAAAATGAAATAGCAAGCAGAATATTTGTCACTGGAGGCCAAGACAAAAGATCAACCAGACTCTGGTATTTCTGATCACCCTGTACAATTGTGAAAAAGTTGGACAGTTAAGAAAGCTGACAGGAATAAAATTGATTCACTTAAAATGTGTTGCTGGAGGAGAGCTTTGTGGATCCCCAGGACTGCCAGAAAGACAAACGAGTGGATCCTAGATCAAATTAATCCTGCACCATCTCTGGAGGGGAAAAAATGAAGCGGAAGCTGTTCTACTTTGGGCACATCATCACAAGGCCGGATTCTCTGGAAAAGACAGCAGTGTTGGGAAGGGTGCAAAGCAGCAGGAACAGAGGAAGAGCAAATATGGAATGGGCTGACTCCCTAAAGGAAGCCACAGGCTTGAGTCGCAAAAGCTGAGCAGGGCAGTTGAGGACAGGACATTTTGTAGATCACTCATTCATAGGGTCAGTATAAGACAAAGGCAACTTGACAGCACATAACAATAACAGCAAGCCATTGTTGTTGTTTTTTTAAAGATGGTCTTGTGCTGAATTGTGAAAGAATTAAATTGATTCTGAGAAATGTCATTTCTGCAACATACAGTAAAATCATTTGCTTAAAATTTGTTAGAAATGTGTGCAGTTTTCAGAAAGCTACCATACAAAATTAAATTGTTTCTGCTAAAGTATACAGTAATTGAAACGTGCTTCTGCTAAAGACTTGTTTACCAGTTTCAAATGTATTTGTGCTACTTGAGTAAGTAGTCAAGTGCATTATTTATATCTTTACTAAAGTGAGTTATGGCAGGGTTTTTTCCCCTTAAATTTCAGGTACGAGATGTTAAAAAACCTATGGTGATAGTTAAAAATTCTTCTTCCAAAGGTAAGTGATTTTGGTAACTTATTTTCATGGTTCATCAGCCAGCAGATAGATAGTATTGAACAGCTTTTTTAATGTTGGGTGTAAAATAGTAATAGACCAACATACAATACAATACATTTGGCCAACAATAATCTCTCATTGGAAGCCACAACAGCTAAACTGAGTCTATTGTATTTTTGTTTGTTTGTTTATTATTTCAACTTGTATCCAGCCCCATCATGCAACATACTTTGTGGATGGTTTACAGTGCATATAAACAAAGAAGGAATGAATAGAAAAAAAAATTAAACAAATACAAATCATCAGTCAATAAAAAACACTGACTAGCTAACCTGTCTTTAGATAAATAAACATTTGAAAATGACATTGGCCATCATAGGTAAAATAACTAATAAAAAGCAGTTTTAAACAGTTCTGTTTTTAATAACCTCTTGAAGACTGTGCAGGATTTGGGGCATATCATTAGAAAAATCACTGGAAAAGACAATAATGCTAGGGAAAGTGGAAAGCAGTAGGGAAAGAGGAGTGTCTAACATGATACAGATAAAAGAAGTTATGGTCTTTAGTTTTCAAGATCTAAGCAGGGCTATAAATGATAGGAGATTTTGGAGTTCATTAATTTATAGAGTCATCATAAGTTGAAACATGATGCAAGACAGTACAGTGGACCCTCGACTTACAGACGGCTCGACTTACAGAATTTTCGAGTTACAGACTTCTCTGGCCACAAAATTTAGATTCGACTTGCAGCCGGAGAATCGACTTACAGACCAGGAAAAAAAACAAAATGGAACAAAAATAGAATAAAAACTGCCAGTTATGGGATTAATCAGTTTTCAATGCATTGTAAGTCAATGGAGACTCGACCTACAGACTTTTCGACTTGCAGCCACCATTCTAATACGGATTCATTCTGTAAGTAGAGGGTCCACTGTATACACATCTGCACTGAGGTGAGTGTTATGTTCTTAAAAGTGTAGGAAGTCCTTGCATTTTCTGTTGAAATATAGGTACCTATAGAGCCAAACTATAAATTGGCAGTGTTAGGATGAGCCAAATTCAGCTTAATAAGCAGAAGTACAAAATATGAATGAGCCATGTACTCCAGTACCGATCTGTTTGCTCCTCCCTTCATGGGACTAGACAAATCAGAAAAGCTTTCAGTTTGTGTTGGCTTTTTGTTCTGCCTGAGCAATTACAATGGTTAAGAGTTTTTAAAACAAGCCACTGTCTTCAGCTAGCCTCAGACTATGGCTTCATATCCTGCATTGCTCCTTACATTTCAACCATAGCATTCTGGTTCAAAAATGTATAATACGAGTGGACTGAAGAATTCCTGGTTTGTTTGAAGGAGCAAAATCGCTTTGTGAAAACAGACTGGCTTATATCTTATATAAGGTATGCTCATCCAAATGCATTTAAAAGTGGGCTAATTGCTGCCACTTTTATTTTGAAAAAAAGGAGGACAGATTGGGCACAAAAGGTGCCCAGTTTGACCTTTGTTCCTCAGAACAAAGAAGCACTCCAGTACAATTAACGCCGGGTTAGGACAAGTACAGTGTCAGAACACAAAGGTGAGCAATTCCTGTCTAGGGTGTGACGGAACAGGAAGGAGTTGCACAATAGCTGTAAGCAAAGCAAAAGAAATAAGCCCTTTGTGCCTGGCTATATAAATGTTACATTACTTGGAACCCTTTTTTAAACATTTTCAAATTGTTCTAATTACAGGGATTTTTAAAGATTAGTTAAATGCACTTGCTGTGGCCTGATTCTAGAGTTCCAGTGAGTGGAGTGGCACTCACAATGTATTATTGGGAGAGGCAGGGAAAGGTGATTTTCACTGATTTCTTTCTATAGCTGGCTCCCCACTACTCTCTAAAATGCTATTCAGACGGATTCAGGGAACCTCTAGAACGGGGGTGTGTGTGTGTGTCTGGAAGTGGCACTTGTCAATTTTTACCTCGGGCTCTATTATATTTTGATGTTTTGTTGTTGTGCTAATAAGTGTGATTTTCACTATTCTAAACCATTATAAATGTGAGTTATGCATTACAAAGGTGGGGCAGAAATTCTCATATAAATAGAAAAATAAATCCTTTAAAATTAGATGCTGATCAATAACAAGAAAAATCCAGTGACATCACCATGAAAGTAAAGTAAAGCTGCTGGATTTGTAAATAAAAATAAGCACATTTAAAAGTAATTTTTAAAAATGTGTAATGTATCTTTCTTGTATTTCAGAGCTCAGAGACATCTATTTTAATGTAAAGAACATGGTGCTTCCACATGACTGGAATACGCTTATGCGGAAATGTGGCTTGTCGGATGTAGACATTGATAAAATTACCCGTGATTATCCCCATGATACTAATGAACAATATCATCAGATGTTAAGGACTTTGCAAGATAGATTTGGAATTGAAGGTGCCTTACATAAATTATTAAATGGACTATGGGACATGAATCTCAAGACTTCTTATGAAAATATAACAAATGAATTAGCAGACCATAATATAATAACAATGGAGCCTGAAGAATAATTTTGGGTTTGTTAAAGAATGTGACTGTATTAAGAAAGAATCAGCAAACTACAGACTGCTGGGATCTGGTTTTACACGTGACCTTAATTTAATGCATGCTGCGTTTTGCAGAAGATATGTAAACAGAAAACACAGCGGTTAAATATGGGACCAGATCACTTTCTTTTTGAAAATGAAATTATGCATATTTTATATGTGCATTTCCTAATATCTAAACTGGACAGCAGTTGTACTAGAAAGAAATGTTATGCTTGAACTAGTTTGGAAAATGAACTTGGGATAGGAAACTTGAATTTCTTTGTCATCCTTTGTTCAGAAAAGGTTGAAGAATGAATGCACGCAGCAGGAAATGATGAAACTTGGCTGCCTTCCTGATATCGAATAAAGTTGTTAGTCCTAAAATGCAGCAGGAAGGACAGTAATTAAAACAATATTTTAACTAGACACTGTTATGATATCTGGATAAAACATCCTTTGAAAAAAACATTGTGACCAATTTTCAGTGTAACACCAAAAAAATTTTTTTTACTTGAATTGCTAAATATTTTTGTTCAGCAGGCTGCACGAGGCATAATAGTTTTTAGTTTGGAGTTGGAACTCTGAAGTATAGGATGAACATCTCTACTCATGGGGTTCCCCTCCTGGAACTGTCTAGTGATTGCAGTGGATCAAGGAATTTGTTGTTACTTGAAATTGAATCCTATAAATACTGTTTACTTTTATTTTCTTTCTTTTTTTTTTTACAATTTCAGTTTTTGTTTTCCTTGATATAGTATTTTCTTTTATTAGTCTTTTCTAATAAAATACTTTAAAAGCTTTTGTTCATATTCTTAGTTTTCTCAGTAAATGGAAAATTACAGTATGTCAAACGTAATCTGAAAGGAAAACTGATGAAATGTTTCTAGTATGCCTACTCCCCTCTAATCTCCAGCAAGCTTCAACATACGTTGTCTTATTTACTTACAGCCGTTAAAGGCAGTGGTGAACGTGGTGTGTCACCTGTCAAAAGTGGCAATGTGGCCATTTCCCCCATTGTCTCTGAGATGCTGTTATATCGTCTTTACCTCTCTGTGCTGCTACCCAAAATACAGTCACCCTGAAAACCTGCACTGAGTTTGCGGCTGCCATTCAAACTTTTGAGCAGGGATTCCTTCCCTTGAATTATCCTTATCACCACACCAGGCAAACAGCCAGTGTTCTCTTTTAAAGTGCGATTTATTTCTTTTTTTATTTTTGTGAAACATAGCTTTGTTCATTTTGGTAATATTGTATAAACTGTGTGTCATAGCACTGACCAGCTTCTTATACAGTATTAGTGTATTATCTTTGAACTGCTATCTATAAAATAATGAGCAGAGTTATAGACCAAAAAGAATTTTATTTTTTAAAACCACACTCTTAAGAAATAAAAAGTGTTAGTGAACAGTTAAAAATAATTGTAAGAACAATGTTTTAAATTGTGTTAATTTCTACAGTCTTTACTTTTCTTCTTTATAATTCTGAATATATTGTATTCCTTAGATACTTGCTTTGACACAAGTACTAACAGGATTTCACTTTCATTCACAGCTGATTTACACACAGACCACTTTAATTTTAACTCTTAAAAAACAGCACTAGTGCATAACTCTGAACAAAACTCTCACATAAACTCTTCTAACCAACCAAATCTCTCCAGCCAAAAACTGCAGACAGACCAGTTTCATACTTTTCAACTGTCCTAACTGTTGACACACATCATGCATAATATATGTCAATCAACCCCAGTTACTTATCATGTAAGTCGATACAAACTGTTAAATAAATTAAATAAACTTATACACAAAATATATTTACTGATACTCCAGGGGGCATGATTCTCCATTTTAATGATTGGGGGTTGGAGTTTTTTGTTTGTTTGTTCAGTCGTTTAGTCGTGTCCGACTCTTCGTGACCCCATGGACCAGAACACGCCAGGCCCTCCTATCTTCCACCGCCTCCCAGAGTTGTGTCAAATTCATGTTGGTTGCTTCGATGACACTGTCCAACCATCTCATCCTCGGTCGTCCCCTTCTCCTCTTGCCTTCACACTTTCCCAACATCAAAGTCTTTTCCAAGGAGTCTTCTCTTCTCATGAGATGGCCAAAGTACTGGAGCCTCAGCTTCAGGATCTGTCCTTCCAATGAGCACTCGGGGTTGATTTCCTTTAGAATTGATAGGTTTGTTCTCTTTGCAGTCCAGGGAACTCTCAAGAGTCTCCTCCAGCACCACAATTCAAAGGCATCAATTCTTCGGCAGTCTGCTTTCTTTATGGTCCAGCTCTCACTTCCATACAACACTACAGGAAAAACCATAGCTTTGACTATTCGGACTTTTGTTGGCAAGGTGATGTCTCTGCTTTTTAAGATGCTGTCAAAGTTTGTCATTGCTTTCCTCCTAAGAAGCAGGCGTCTTTTAATTTTGGGGCTGCTGTCTCCATCTGCAGTGATCATGGAGCCCAAGAAAGTAAAATCTGTC